CGTTATTTATCAGGACATCTGTTTCTGGCGGAATCGTCTCCATGTCGCAAATGTTACGGAATTTATCGCCTCCGAGAGCGGAGCCGGTCAAGAGAGGTTTGCCAACCTTCTCTTCTCTTCTCTCTACTGTCATCTGGGTGAAAAACTGTCGCTCCGAAAAAGGCCTTAAACAGTGCCTAGGGGGTCTGAAATGCAGTCAGAATACAAAGAAAAACAAGAAGACGCTAAAGGTAAGCTTCAAAGCGATATTCAATGTACGTTTTGCTAATTTAGTGAGCAAAGAATATTTCTCCATACAACGTCTTATAATTTTCTTGCTGTATGAATAATTAATTAGCTAAGGAGGATAATGTTGTTCACGGCTCTCATAGTGAGCTTGGGCTACCTGTGGTTCGCTCTTCGATTTGCCAGACCAATAGGGAGCCGCTCGTGTACTGCACAGTTACAATTTTCTCTGTAGTATTTCGCTGTATACAGCTACAAATTACATATTTACTTAGCCAAAGATAACGCAAACGTTGTCAATTTTTATCAAAAGGCTAGAAAAAGAAACCGTGCACTGCAGCTTTATGCAAATTATATGGTGTTCGATAATATTACACGTGTAAACAGGAACCTACCTTTGCTAATGTACATTTGGCAGATCTTTCCAGCGTAAGATATAAAAATAGTACATGAAATGAAATTAAAGAACTCATCAAGTCAAGTTACCTGATCGTACCGTCATTACTGAATAATAAGTCCGAAAAATATGACATGGAATGATCGTTGGGAGACGAAGCTATTTTTAGGAGGACAAGGAACTGCATGCTGGAACGGAACTGAAATTAACAACCTTAATCAAGTTCAGTCTTGTTGACGCTAATGTATTCTGCAGTTCGACCAGTATTTTTTCGTAACTTTTAGGGTGTGTTCCTTTCGGTGAATCCAAAAACGGATTTTAGATCTAAAAACGGATTTCGCGTTCCTTTCGGCAAATCCAAATCCGGATTTTTGATCTGGTGAATCCTTTTTGAGAAAGGATTCATTGGATTTGAAATCCGAAGAATCCAAATCCAGATTAACGGATTAGTGATCTACGCTGTTCCATTCACAGAGGATCCGAAATTAGTTAGATGATCCAGCGGTATTTCCAGTTGAAGTATTCCCATAGAGGCCGTAGAGTTTCCTCGTTGCTGTCATTTGCCGCAAAACTTCTGAAGACATTAGAAGATTGTTCCTGGTACATTAAAATATCCATATACTAACCATTTGTCTCTAAAGATTCCTTGAAATCAGAAATAAATAAAAGTAACAAATGAACTGCTATCTAACTACAAACTCGCTTGTAGACGCGACAGGCACTCGATCGTGTTACATAAAAAAAATCCGAGCTATGGAACTGGATCAAACTGGCCGACATTCTTTAGATAATTTTCAATTTTAATGCGCTTCTTTCTTTGCCTGTTTTATATGTTCCATCGTCGCTATTCGAACTGCCGACCACTAAATTCTGCACGGTATAATCGCATAATTTGTCAAACAGTAGAAAACTCGTCACTTTTTGAGAGGCTGTCGTGCATATTGCACGCGTTGGCGAAAGGTTACCAAGGTTACAAATCCAATTTCGGATTTCACGTTCCTTTCGACCGCGAAATCTGGCAAATCTAGGATCAAAAATCCGTTTTTGGATTCGCCGAAAGGAACACACCCTTAATTCTCTAGCAAACTAGAACTGTTAAGAACTACCATCCCCCGCCCCTCCCCCTCTTTGAGCGAACTTTCATTCGGTCTAATTCCCAATAATTTTCGAACGGTGACAAAGTAAAATTTAAAATGACATTTTATTTTAGTATTTTTAAAAGCTCCTTCTTTTTTTTCCGATAGCCAGGAATGTTTTGAACGTAAAGGCTCAAGTGTCGGTGTTTTTCACGACTCTGCTTGTGGACTGACCTCACCACCAGTATTACATGACGGACATAAAATCTGATCCGAGAGGGTCATACAGTAACTGACGGGTCTCTGAAAAGCGAAATTCAGTCACTTTGGGGCAAGCAGGCTATATAGATGATGAACTCACTGTTTATAACTCCATTAGCGTATCCCAAAAGTCGACCCAGTCCGGGGCGAGCGAACATCATTTTGGGGCCACTGGCCACGCCCTTATGTTTGGCTGGAAATTGGCTGATTAGTCAAATCTCCTGAACTCCACGAACATGCACCTTTACAAATATTGCCCTTCTAATCATCATATAGTTAGAGCCTCCCGTAAGCATTTGCAACTATTTTGTAGAGGACTGTTTAACAGTTTTCATTACTTTGATGTCTCGTAAACAACACGAGGTACATGTTCTGATCTCCCCGCTCTCGCCGCCCCTCCCCCCACCCCATCCATAACAAAAAATTTTCAGACCAACACTGAAGGTATGTACAAAAATATGACCATCTCGAGGCAAGGTTCATCACTGTAACTTACCACATAAATGCCTTTTCGTTGTTTGCCATTGACTGATTCTGTTCTAAATACTGAGGTCCCATAAACAACTCCACGTTTAGAAAGAGCCCGTCCTTTTCAATCCAAGAAAACCCAAGTAGTAATTTCACCAACGGACATAAGCCGTAAAAAAAGGACCGCGTCAAATGGTTCATAAAATCACAAACGCCTAATGACACCTTTAATTCACTCTTTCTTCGATAAACTAATTTCTTAAGCATAAATGACGTCAGCATGCGCGATTATGAGCGTTGTAGCTTATGAACAGAAAATTTAACCAATGCACATGAAAGCGCTTAAAGGGAACCTCCACTCTTACTACAGAATAAGTTTAAATCGAATAAAATTATGTTGATAAACAAATTTTTTCGAAATTTGTCCTTAAAAAAAGTGTTTATATCAGGAAAAGTGAATTTTAAAATCGCTTATTTTCACTTTCAAATTTCGCGGGCGCCGCCATCTTGAATAATTGTGACGTGTTACGGTTGCTCTATTGTTCTGACACAAAGAGCTTTTGTTTAATAACAATAGGGCAACCATAACACGTCACAATTATTCAAGATGGCGACGCCCGCAAAATTTGAAAACAAAAATAGGCGAATCTAAAAGTTATTTCTTTCGGATACAAACGCTTTCTTTAAAAATATTTTAGATTGACTTGACTGTAACAGTTATTTCCTGTGATTTAAAGTTATCTTTTTGTTGAAGTGGAGGTTCCCTTTAAGACGGGGACTTGGGGGAATTAGGAACATTGTGCGTACCGCTGGAAAAATATTGGCTAGTTCTTTGAATAGACTCAATTAAAACCGTTTTTGTTCAGTAAGGAGCTGTTAGATGGGGCCAAGCTACATAAATTAGATCGTATCAGAATACGGCACAGGACTAGGCCTCTCAAAATCGATAAGCATGCAAGACCAATTATTATGTAAAGCAGAGGAAAATTCCTTGAGGTAAAAAATTATGGCTAGGGAAAAGATCCGAAGGTGGAAAGTTAGGATCGTAGCTTCTTTTCAGGTAATCGATCATTTACGTTAACTTCCGCTATCCGATGGGTATATCGGAAAGACTGAAAACACTCAATGGATGAGAGTATAACACACAAGAAGAAACAAATTTGTGATTTTTCACAACTCAATAAAATAACTAAAAATGTGTACTAGTCAGTTATATAAGATTTTTGTTTTTAATTTCAGATTTTTTACGATAGAGCATTAGCCCTCAGACTCACTAGACACTACTTCACAATCATCGTGTTAAAATCAGTGAAATACTCCATTTGCATGGCGTACAATTTGGATTCCTACCCTTATACCTTTATTAAAAATTAAATTTGGGAAGTTTGTTGTTTTCTAAAAGAAGTTTGAACAGCCGAACGGCATTTTTTACACGGAGTGGGAAAGGCACAGCTTCACTTTTCTCTTCTAAGGTAGAAAGTGTCAGCAAAACGTGAGAGTCGTCCTTGAGGGTAAAGTGTCTAACCTAATTTTCTCACCGATTGCAAGTGCCATTTCATCCACGCATAACCTCACCCAGTTAACTGAATTATAGCAAATGTAATGAGGAAACGTTACAAGAGAACTGAGTAAGAAGTTAGGGTAAGTTTTGAAAATTGTGCGCACACCTGGGAAATCTTGGCTACGCTCCTGATAGAGACTTTTGCTGGAGACAAATTGAAACGTGCTCGCTAATATAGTGACGACCAGAAAGGAAAAGCGATAGGATAGTTCCATAGAAAACCCGCCATTAAAATAGATCATGAAGTTGTCGAGGCGGAGGATGAACTTGAAGGCTTCTGATGAAGAGCAATTTTTCAAGGGAGCCCAGACAAGATTATGTACGATGGGCACAGCTTGTTAGATCCGGAAAATTTAGAGAAGCTCAAGGCAAATCGCTGGACAACACATGCTAGAGCTGAAATAAAAATCTTTTGCGCTTTTGAACTCTGCCACTAAGGATAAAGGAGAAAGTTTCCCTTTATCAATGCATTAACCAAGTTGATTATGAATGTTTCCTTATGTTGGACGTCTTACTAACAAGCACATTACCACTACTTGTCCTCAGAGGCGTTTTTGAGTTGACGAGCAGAGAAAATTAGGTTTTGACGGTTTGAAATTCAGGATGCCAGAGTGAAGACGCCTTTTGTATTATGACGTCATCGTCCTACAGTAAAAAGCGTTCGTTTTTTACCACTGATATTACGTCAATCGGTACGCTCAGTATGTTTTCGAAAGGTCCGTGAGCATGGTAAATGATTTCACATTAACTGCAGACACATCTTCAATCACTCCTTATTGTTCGCGATATTGGATAAACACTCTGGTCGCTAACTGGATTTTCTTTGCTGTTTACTTTATTTTGAATTAGGACTGTCTTGAGTTGTCCATAGCGATTTTAAGCTTTTTCAAGGAAACGAAAATCTGGAATTGTTCCTATAGGGTGAGGCATTTGCGCACAGTTTTAAAGCCCTTCGGTGGGATGGCTGTGGTTTTTGTAGTCCTGGGCTCATCCCTCATTCTTCTTAACCCCTTCCAAATCAATTTTTCTGTTTATCAAAAAGCCCTTTATGGAAAGACAAAGAATCTCCTCAAACGGGCTTCGTGATTGAGACAAAATACCTGAAAATTGTGCACGTAACCGTTGTTAATGGTGTACAAGGTAGAATGAGTCTATTTATTACTTGGCCAACGCCCAATTTTAAAACCGGAAGTAATGATGTTTATTTCAAGGGCTCATGTCTCATGAGCTTTGACTGAATCTTCAAACGCTGTAAATACATTTAGCTGGAACTATCATCGCATCCTCGCTCACTAATAATGATAACTTATATCAACTTCCATTATTTATTGCCTGGCTAAGATTTTCACGGATTCTTCAGTTCGGTTGTTTGAAACCGGCGGTTTCACGTGAGTTGTAACGCCATGCAAGGAACGTGACGACCCACGATATGCGTGGGAAAATATTATTTTTTTTCCATCAAGGTGGAAACTGGCATCTTTGTCGTCGAGTAAGGTAATACATCTCAATTTTGATTACTAAGGTTAACTTTAAAGGCTCTGGTTTCGATAAAGGAACTGGAGGAAGTCAGGAAAATTCCAGTTCGACTGTGATGGATACATTTTGTTTGCGCGCCGTAGCATAAACATAACAAATTCATTTTCCTTTTCCTTGTACAATCTGTTTTTTCAATCTGTTTTTCGCAGCAGAGTTATCGATTATATTACAGAGACTAATTTTATTACACATATCACTCAGATTTAATGACAGAACTCTATTATCGATTGTAATTTTGGCAACACCTGGCGAGTATTCGGTGTAAAGATTATTGACAAAGTCGCTAGAATACTCTTCCATTCATTACTTTTGTTTCTGCTCCGTTAAATTTGCCCAATTTTTTTATTAACGAACTCGATTTAACTACAAACAATGAGTATTCAGGCAGAGTGGCAAGCTTCAATGCGATGTGGCAAAAGAGATACACGCCTTTAAAATTCTGTTAATTTTGCGGGTGTAAAAAATTCAAAAAGTATACACACCAAAAGTTTAATCGATCGTTGCGAAAATGTTATCAATTTCAAAGTAGTTTCTAAAAATACAATAAAGAGGGATTGTCCTTTCAATGTGTATCGGCAAAGGAAGATTGGCTTTGAAGACAGGGTTGTAGTCAAGGTTCAAAAGCAGCTTCTATTAACCAATATGGAGGCCGTGGCAGGGTAAATTCCGACAAGCGACATGACCCAAAAAGTAGCGACAGAGCCTAAAATGAAATGGCGACAAGCGACAACCTCCCGCTGCCAAATTGCGACAGTGACGGCAAAGCCGAGAATATGCGACAAAGAACGGTGGTTTGGCTAATTTATCACCAGTCTGAATGCCTAGAAGAAGTAATTTTCGTCAATTTTCCTTGCGCTTCAGAGGTTGTCTCTCGTCAGGGAGTTTCAGTAGACCCTCCTGAGCGCGTCGCGCTGGCCCTTCGCGTAGTCTTCATTTACGCAACCCCGCACAACTCCTGGGAGACCTTGGGACTAGGTTGTACGTAAAATAGCTTAATTTACGCTCGCTTTACATCTCTTGTAATCACTACTTTCATATAGGCCATGACGCACCTTGTTTTCCCCCTCAGAATTTTGCATAACCAATGTTTCCAAATTCTCCAGGGTATTACAGTCGTCCTAAGAGAAATGGTTATGCGAAGTTTTGGTGGGTAAAGAAGGTGAATTATGGTCTATGTGAAAATGGTGAATACTTTGCTTGTTTCTGAACTTCTCATATCCTTGTCGACCTCTGTCGGACGATGACGACGGTGGAGAGACCAGGGACCAGGTAACTTAAACACGACACAGCGTAGACCACCGTTAACCGGCCTTCACGTACGATTTATCAGGTCAGTTAGTCTTAAAATGTTGAACGTGGATCACTTAGGGTGTGCTGACAGTGTTCCTTTAAGCGAATCCAAAAACGGATTTCTGATCCCAGATTTGCCGGATTTCGCGGTCGAAAGGAACGTGAAATCCGAAATTGGATTTGTGACCTTGGTAACCTTTCGCAAATGTGTGCAATATGCATGACAACCTGAGCGTCTCAAGAAATGACATGTTTTCTACTGTTTGACAAATTATGCGATTATACCGTGCAGAATTTTGTGGTCGGCAGTTCGAATAACGACGATGGAACATAAACAGATCAAGAAAGTAGCGTGTTAAAGTTGAAAATTATCTGAAGGTTGTCGGCTCAGTTTGATCCAGTTTCGTTGCTCGGTTTTCTATGTAACACGATCGAGTGCCTATCGCGTCCAAGAGCGAGTTTGTAGAAAGATAGCAGTTATTTGTCCCTTTTACTTATTTGTGTTTTTAAGCAATCTTTAGCGACAAAAATGGTCAGCACATGGACATTTTACTGTACCACCATGAACAATCTTCTAGTGTTTTCAGATGTTTTACGGCAAATGGCAGCAATTAGGAAACTCTACGGGAATACTTCAACTGGAAGTACAGCTGGATCATCTGACTAATTTCGAATCCACTGTGAATGGAACAGCGTAGATGACTAATCCGTTAATCTGGATTCGGATTCTTCGGATTTCAAATCCAATGTGAATCCTTTTTCAAAAAGGATTCACCAGATCAAAAATCCGAATTTGGATTTGCCGAAAGGAACGTGAAATCCGTTTTAAGATCCAAATCCGTTTCTGGATTCACCGAAAGGACCACACCCTTAATTGTGAATGGCGATGTATAGGTGTTCTATACGAGAAAGGTTATCTGAGAAATTGCTCAACTGTAATGGTTTCTTTAAAACCCATCGCTATCCCCCTTTTCTAAAATTCCGACAAAGACAAAGAATTTTCGTTCAATTCCCGACAGCGACGTGAAGCATTAATAAACACCGACACGAGACGTTTTAAAATTCAGACGAGCGACATGGGAGCCCCCCCTGGCAGGGCCTCAATATGGCGCCGGTCCGAGGCACCCAAAAACCGGCCATGTCGATAATTTCCGAAATAGGAAGAATTAGAACCTAAAGTTACCTATTCCTTATTAAAGACCCCAAAGCAAGTCTACTTGCCAATTTTTAGCCAATTCGGTGAGATAGTGTGGCAGCGACTTTTCAATATAGCTCGAATCTTACAGACAACTGCTCTTAAACGAGTCATTTCGAGAAAGTTGGTCAAAATTTCTGACTGCCGGGTAACTAGTTTTTTGAAAACATTTCCCGGCTGCCGGGTATCTAGACACGAGCTAAATTGCATCCTTTGTAATTCGCAAAAGTCGTTAAGACTAGAAATCTGGCAAACGTGCACGACTCTGCAGATTTATCCCCATGTGCGACAAACGCAGACTGCAGACTGGCAGGTAAACGAGGTAAACATCGTTGTGAAATGCTCTAACAGATTTCCTATCCCTAAATAGAATTTTAGAAGACTTAAACTTTAGGGATAGGGAATCTGTTAAAGCATTTCACAACAATGTTTACCTTGTTTGCCTGCCAGTCTGCAGTCTGCGTTTGTCGTAGACCGGATTTATCCTAGTCTTGTGTCTGATCGCATTTAAAACGCATTTTTGACTTTCTGATTAAAGTAGCGTTACTATAAACCTACTCTTACAAATCTAGATTTATAATGCGCCCATGTGCCCCCCTGGCTAACCTCCGGGCATTAGCATTTTGTTGCTGAATTCCAGGGTGCTTGTACAATTTAGCTGTGAAATGCCCCATGGTGGGAATGAAAAATGAGAGCAAATATAGGGTGGCAAAAGGGTTTGCCGTGACGCGTGATGAGACCCAAATTATCAGTGTCATGCATGATCTGGCCCAAATTAGCCTCGTGAGGTGTGTTTAGGCATTGCAGTGTGCTGCACGATTTACTATTTTCACAACACATGATGCGTGATTTTCCTTTGAAATTTTTGTGATGGTTAATATCATTTTAAACTAGAAGCAGAGACATAAAAAATACATAGTTATAGCACCAACTTCTTGCCCTTTCTCTCGTTCCTCGACCTCTGATTTCCTCAGATCAATTGATAATAGAACACTTGTTCATGTAGTTAATATTTTACTTTATTTTTCAATGGTGCATGATAGCTTGAAAAAATTGGCATGATGCGTGATAGGTACCCCCCCTTTTCCACCCTGGCAAATGCCCTGCCCTCAGTCAATACTGCAGCAGTTTTCATTAGTCACACAGTCGAGTAGTGGGCCACTTAAAGCACAGGAGGCCTGACTCTGTGGGAGTTCGTTTGCCTGCGCCCAGGAGCGGACACGGTGTATCCCGAGTAGCATGGTGGGAGGGTCCTTTGGTCCATTTGACCGTGACAAAGCATGCCAAAACATCACACCAGCGCCTAGCTATTTGCACAACTCTGTCTGCAATTTGCTAGTGCAAAAAATTGCACAAGAAAATTGCAGACAAGAGTCTGATTGGCCTAAAACAATATTGTATTTTAGCTTTATCTAAAATGCCTAGATATACTGCAAATTACAGTTTCCATGTTAACAAAAAATTGTATGAGGTCATGTCTAATAGCTTCTAAAACGTGTAGTAGTGGAGGAGTAGCAGACCTTAAAAATGTTAAGAAAATGTTGTACACATTTTCATTCAATCTTTCATGTGCAGGTGCAGTCAGGGTGGAACTCTGCTCAAATCTAATGGAAGGTGGAACAACTCCATCTTTAGGCAGGTGAACTTTCTAACATTATCCAGCATATTAGAAGTTAAGGTGTGACTATAAATCTCTATCGTCTTTGGGTGACTAGGAAACCTTTAGCCTTTACACTTTCCCTGCTCTTTGTATTGAGCAGACTGAATTTATAGGTTCAGAGCTTATTGGCTGCTTAATTTTTGAGATCACAGCCTTGAAAAGCATAACAAAATAGTGAAATGGCTAGAAATGGGTTAAGGATGTATAACATTTTCCTTGCTTATACTGGGAGGTCACTTGTCACAAACTGCAGATACTACCCACACTCATCTTATGATTTGCTCTACCTTTATTTAAGTAATAAATTATAGATATGTACGAGTAGTTTTTATTATATTTCCATAATTTTTCTTTCTTTTTTCTGCATAATAGGAATGTTTAAAATCATCAAAGAGAAATCACCAATTCCAGTATTTGTGATGATCAGACCAAGAGGTGGAGACTTTCTTTACTCAGCAGCAGAGTTTGAGGTTATGAAAGAAGATTTGAAATTATTCAAGGAGGCTGGGGCAAATGGTGTTGTATTTGGAATTCTCACAAGGTATTTAATATAATTCTCATAATAATAATAATTATTTTATGTGCATAGCTGACACTTCCATGATGATTAGAGAGCAATTTTTGCTGGTTTAGGAGCTTCTGGAGAAGTCTGAATACAGTTAATAGTAATGTTAATTACAATAAATTATGTTTGTTAAGTTGTATTAATTTTATTATCACATAGATTAAATGTCTCTGCACATACACTGTAACTTGATATGTGTTTTTCTTCAGTCATGGTGAGGTGGATATCTCAAGATGCAAGGAACTCAAAGGTTGGCATACTATTTAAGAAAAAGATGTAACTATCACAATGTCATTACCAGCATACAGGACCAAAAAAAATTCTTGACTCTTTCACTGGTAATAGTCATCCACAGATTTAAAAGTTAGAATGACAGAGTCACATTTAACTTGAAGCAATGATCTCCCAAAGACTGGTTGGATGCTCTTCCAATGTGGAGCTATGGAGAAAACAAGAAGGGCAATTAAACTAAGTCAGGCAGTCTGCATACTGTTGTATAGTGAAGCCCGTTCTTTAGTACTACCTGATTGCATAATGTTTTTGAAAAAAAAAATGTGTTTTATCGCATAAAAAACTTTCATACTGAACAAACTGAACTTTTCCTTCCCCAGAGCTAGCAAGTCCATTGCCAATGACTTTCCATAGAGGTACATTTAATTTATGTATTTAGCACTTATTGGACTATTTTACCTGCCCTGCAAAATGGTTTCTTATTTGGGAATCCAGTGAAATATTAATTCAATTTAAACATTTACCTTAGATCATTTGAATTACAGTAAGATTACTTGACATGCATGTCGGTATTTTCCAGACGAAAAAAAGATGTTTTCTAGAGCAGGTTTTCCACGGCAAGTTTACTTTTCTCTTTTTTTGGTAATTTAGGTGGAAAATGTGACAAAATTTTCCTTGGAAAGGAAAAGCACGGCCAATTGTTTTTCCTCCTTAGTTGTCAAATGGTATACCACTTATTAAGGAGTTATTCCTAAAGGCCCGGCTAAACGATTTTAAGATTTTCCTACACTAAAGGCCCTCTTTCCAATGGTGTCGACAGATTTTCCCTAACTTATCCATGTCAAAAGTTAAAAAAACCATGAAAAGGTCTATTTAACACCCGGGATTTAACATTAGTTAACTTACGCAACAGTACGGGAAAGGAAAGGAGACGGCCAACCTTGTGTGAAAAGCGTAACAATAATGTTGTTTGAAATACCTTTTCGCCAAACTTAACTTTCCCTTTAAACAAATCTTTTTGTAAAAGACCAGAAACATTAATGTTAAGTGTGGCCTGCGTAGCAAGCGTTCCGCGCGAGTTCGTCGAGAAAGCTGGGATGAGAGCTCTAACTTTCGCGCAATAACTCGATTGGAATAACGCTTGCTACGCAGGCTATGTTAAGTGAAGATCACGACCAATCCTCTTCTTCCTGCCGTCCTGTTACGTAAACCAACTACTGTTGGATTTTATAGGGTTGAACGCGGTAGCCAAACGAGTTCAAAATTGTCGAAATTTTTGAGTCGGTTATTTGTGCAAGGATTTTCATTATCTGTTCGGACACGTGTTCAGGGCGTGTTCAGTACTCTTGGCAACGCCCCCCTGCAACTTGTCTGGGCACAAAATTGTGAGGGAAGTTGCAAGATAAATTAGCTGGTGTAACAGGACGGCGACGGTAACGTGCGTGTAAGCATCGCAAAAGCAATGGCTTTAATGAGCAAAACAAAACTCAACAAGTGCGTTATACTTTTTGTTACATTTATTTTCTCTGTCGTCACTGCACAACTACTATAGTAAGCCAGTACATGCAGATGTGTTTCCGGTCGTCGCCTCTGTCCAAATACGCATGCGTTCGCGGGCTACGACTTGTCGACTTTAATTGTCGACTACGATATGAAGTTGTCTGCCCATGCGTTAGCACAGGGCATGGGGTGGGAAATGGGAAGAAAGGGAGGGGTGTACATGTATATGCTCTTAACAATTTTAAAATTAAGTTTTAAAATTAATTTTGCTCTGTCACAGCATTTGACATGGTGAAGGATCCCTACACGTCATTAGAGATTATCATTAACTTGGGCTTTGAACGTATTTTGACCAGTGGACAGGAATCTTCAGCGTTGGAGGGATTACCAACCATAAAATATCTTATTGAAAAGGTAAAAATGCACTTTCCATTTCATGGTCGTTCTTTGCAGATAAAATTAAAAGCTTGCAATTTTCGCAGCTACTTAAAGGAGTATCACGAAAGTTAGGTAAATTTAAACAGTGTAAACTTGCTACCATATTAAGCGATACATAAAACAGTGATAAAAAACCGCTCAAAACACAGCAAAAACAAAAGAAGGCACGTATGGACAAATTGAAGAAGGTTAAATGACTAAAGTACAATCGAGGTTTTAGGAAACTTGTTACACAAATGACATTTTTTACTTAAAATCGATCGCTGCTAAGTACACATAGAAGTCCACGTAAGCTACGGAGTCTCAAGTATTTTCACAACTGGTTGTAGCAAATGGGGAATGTTATTGCGGGCGACAAGAGGAGCCGGCAATCCTAATCTCCAGGTTGCTATTACGCATGCTTGGCAAGTATGTAGCCAGCTTCGTTTGGACTTCCACTAAGAATGAATGGAATGTACAGAACGCAATCTGATCACACCTTCTGTCACTCGTTATGTGATCACGCGTGTTTAGACCATCTATTACGTGAAACTTTTAAGTACAACTTTAAGTACTGCAAAGTACAGCATTGGTGCAAAGGCGTTTTGACCTTGGATCGTTGTCGCCCGCACTCCCTAATCTTCAGTTTTTTACTAGTTCTTTATGTTCTTATTCACTAGAGAAGATTGAGTTTCAGTAATCAACAGTTTTATATTAAAATTTCACATCCCATAGGCTAGTTTCGATCCCACAATTCAAAAAAGCGTTTTCGGTTGTCCTTTCAATGAACTCTTGGCAATTTCCCGCTAGCAGGAAAAGTTATGAAAGTTAGTGAACTAAGGCATACAATAAAACAGAAGGGGACGTCTTTAGAAAGATTTAGACGATGTCCACCTGGCGAAAAATTGAAAGTATTGTTTTGTTTCTCTCTTACGTAGGCCAAAGACAGGATCATTATCGTCCCGGGTAAGATTTTACTTTCAAAGTACAATAGGTACCATTTTTGTCTTCTTATGATGAAGAATCAAATTAAAACTCTTAAACCACGAGGCAGAGAAAATTTCTAATAGGGGAGTGAGCAATGTGTGTCATTATGTTAATCCATACCTGTTAAAATGGAAGATAAATATTACCTAAATATAATTCTAAGATATTACTGTGAATATATGTCGAGTTTTTTTAATGTTTCTATTGATTGAAACAGTATTATCTAAGAGAATCGAAATAACAGTGATTTCATACTTACGAAAAAATAAAAAAAGAAACATTGAAGCACCCGTTTCTCTGTTGAAAGACTAGAAGTTTTGGAATTTTCATAAATTACGGAGCGCTTTGGACTGAGAAAAATCTTCACATTTGATCATAAGCATTTGGACCGACCTAAGTTGCTTAACGAAGTGCTAAGAGCACCACTTTAGTCCACTGATCCTCAATGCAAAGCAACTTAGTTTTGTAAGTTTAAAACCAAAGTTCAACTTAAGTTATCGAATTCAGTACTTAACTTCCACTTAGAGAGTTGCTGCACACAGAATTCTGGCAAAACAGCAATCGTCCAATTCAGGACGAATTCAGGATAAAGGTAGCCCTGTGAGCAAGCCCTCCATTTCGAGTAGCCTTCCACGCAGACCTTCTTAGGGGTTCGTCACGCGTTCCTGCCCCACCAAACGTGGGGCAGGAACGCGTGACGAACCCCTAAGAACGTCTGCGTGGGAGGCCGCTATATTTCGAGTGACTTTTTGAGTGCCGTTCACGCGTGATTTCTCGCGACTCCCCCAGATGGAGAGCTTGTTCGTGGACTAGGATAGAGGCCGCACTTATTGGAAGGAAACTATTAATGAATCGCGGTTTTGATGTTCCTGATTGTGTTACATTTTAGAAGAAAAGAAAATACTACAGATTTGTTTTAATGTATAGTTTTTAAGTTGGAAAACCTGGTTAAACAAGATTAATATGGCGCGGACTTATTCTCTTAGGTGGTGGGATAACCGAGCGCAATTTGGAACGGATATTACTGGGGTCTGGTGCCAAGGAGTTTCATTGTTCTGCACGACACTCTGTTCCTTCTTTCATGGAGTATAAAAACACCAACACTTTCATGGGTGGAGTCCTTCGTCCGCCTGAATTTGTCAACAAAGTGACAAGCTACGAGAATGTGAGGAACTTTGTTTTTCTGGCAAGATCGGTGTTGACGTAGCAAAGAATTAGCAAAAGAAATGATATAATTAGCAATTAATGAATGAGGCTGAGTAGGATATGAAGAATTAAGCAGATCGAGGAGGGTGTTTTCGGCCTCGATGGATAACAGCCTCCGGTGCCTTAACCTGCAAGAAAGCTGCACTTTTGATGTCATCGGTTGATTAATCGCAAAATTCTTCCAAATTTGGTCTACAGTAGCTGGTTATGGTGAATTATGCGTGTGCTTTTAGCCAATCAGAATCGGGGAAATATTTTAAATGAATAATAATTGAACTTAATATGGACAAAAAAATACGAAGTTCTTATTAATTGATTCCTCGTAGTTAAGCAAATTTCCTCGTCGCTTTCTTAACCTACAAACATAGATTTCTATCACGCCCGCAGAACTTGTTCTAAACGATACGTAGTATACCGTAGTGGTGTACGTTTCACCGCGGTCAAATGAAGGAAATTTTCAAAAGCCAGGCGAATTACTTCCAACTGAAGATAAGGTTGCTACTTTCATGTTGATCGTTGAAGGCATTACCAATACCATGATAGTTTACTAGACTTTTTGAGAGTTTACTAAAAAATTGTAAGTGTTTGAAAACCGAAGTTATCGTTATTGTTGGCGCCATTTTCCAGCTTGATAATCTTTCAGCGTGAAGGATTTTTAAAGAAAAGAGCTCGAAACTTAAAGATATTTATGTTAAGAACTGGTTTATACATCTTTTCGCATTTTTACTCTTGCTGGTAAATGGAATCCCAGCAATTAATACAAAAGTAACGCCTTCGACGTTTGACCGCGGTGGAGATGTATTAGTGACTAGTAACGAAACACAGTTGTCATGCGCTATCGTTCGTCAGTATCAGACAGGTCAGTCATAGAAGGCTCTCTCCACATTACTATAAACACCAGTCGATAAGAGAAACTTTGAATAATACTAAAGAAATCTTTAGAGTCTAAGACTCTTTCCGTACAAGTATAACAAGGAATATTTCATTGTCATCTCTTCAACCACCAGTCGCTGAGACGGAAACTTCGAATACTGCAAAGGAAGTCTTTTGAGTCTCAGGATATAACTTAATTTAATTTTGTTTAACTTTTGTTGTTCTCTCCAAAAGAAACTGCGTCTATCACAAACAGGCTTTCAGTTTGAGGATCAGCTTGTTATTCAACATAACTCGGCCTGTAAGCAGTTGACCTTAAAAAGAAGGCTATTCCATCTTCACTGTTTCTGCTTATGTGATGAAGCTCTTTTAAGACACACTACACGAACTGAACAGTTAGACTATAGTTCACATTCGCGACCACTCGCTAGCTTATGGAACCCTTGCAAAGGGATAACCAAGGTCTTCCTTTTCAAAATTTAATATATCATGCTAAATGTAGACTTTCTAAAAGTCCTCAATTTTTTTCCCTCGCGACCTCATTGAAGCTTGGTTTTAAGAACTCATTAGAGGTCGACTTGTAGCAAGTCTATCCTAAATGTTTAATTCATTAAAGTATTATTGTAAAGACTTTAGAAGCCTCTTGCTTGCGCTCTTCTATCTACGACCTCTACCTCCAGCATCGCAATCGGTTTTTGCACTGTTCTCAAATCCTCGCTCGACTTTCACATATTTGCGAACAGCCCAACAGTGGCGCTCAATATTGCGATCTATAGGCGCTTTTCGGATCACTGAAACGTGGATCACTGGCCAACCTTAGACATCTGCACCTGTGTTTTTCTTTCGTAATCTCCCGTAACACTATTAAGGATAAACACAGTGCGTTTCAAATTAATGCATCGGTAAATAGACGTCAGCGAAAGAAGGTCAGTAGGTTTACATGGTTCACTCATGATCAGATTAAAACAAACACATGCATGTATCGGTGGTTATTTTGGTTGCGGTATGCGGCAGCAGTGTTGTTTTTGTTGACCGTATGCCAGTGCGGAAACTTGTTCCTTACATCAATATTTGATCGACACATAAAGCCTAATCGCAATATATGGGGGATTTACGGCCATTAGTATTTGGACAGATCATTTTCTCTTCTATGATAAGATTATTTAGATGCGAGAAATTCTAAGTATGCTGTTCTTTACACCTTGACAACCTAAGACGCTCATGTTATATTCCAGAGCTTTTGTTCTGACAACAGCTTAAAACACCTGCAAAAGGTTTGCTTTACGATCGCAAAGTTTAACGATATTTTCTAAGGAATGAAAATCCTTCTACTATGTGAAACGTGTCTGAGTCATGTAACAGTATCGCGTAAATCCCTGTGTATATAACGTAAATTCTATTTTTGAGTCCGAGTGTATTTTTATTCCACTAACTGTATTATAATTACAGTCTTTTTAGGCCATGAGAAAACCTAAAGCCTGGACTAAGCTCCAGTGTCATTCTTCAATCTGCAGTCCCTGTGTTGCTATCTATTTTCTTCCGATTAAATCTTCAAAGTACTCAATTCGGAAGAAGTTTTGTATTTTCTTTTTATTTTTACTGGAGCCAGTAAAAGTGCCTCTTCGAATATCCTTCGTTCTTTGGCGTCTAACCTATTTAAGAACACTTCACTCTGTCAAAACAGTCAATTAACTAATTGATCCAAAGTACTTAGATTCTATAATTGAGTGAAGCGATAAACGGCGTTATCAAAACTGCTTTTAGTCTTTTCACGAGTATTATTTGAAGATCTAAGCGTCTCGTTCTGGATTTTTTAAGACATGCAGCCATCCTGTAGCATCTGTTTCGTTATACTGAATGACCGTCATAGCTCTCAAGATGTTCTGAAGAATTCAAAGTCATAGGTTTGACTTATTTCCTTCTCTCTGCACCACTAATACAGGGGCACCCAACGAGAGTATAGTTCAAAACCGCATAAACATGGCATTGTTGTACGTACTTTAGTATTTAAACGGTAGATAAAGGCTTATTTTTATCCCCTAAAAATTTTTCATCTGTTCGGATTTCCTAGCTGAAAGTATAGTGATCCGAAAATTATAGGGATCAAAATTTACCTTTTCGAAAATTTCAGCCAGAGAAAAGACTCCCGAAAATTCTAGGTGACCTTTTTAGGGTAAAAATCCGTTAAAAATGGGCAATTATACGATTTTTTTGAAGTTCGAAAATCCTAGGAAAGGCAGGCAAGCAAGAAATTTGTCAGAAAATGATCCGAAAATTCTAGACCTCAAATCGTCTTCCGAACAGATAATTTTCCGAAAAATTGTCGTTGGGTGCTCCTGCTAATACTGAGTAAGAAACCAGGCGAGATCCTCTCTCAATCATGCGTCATGAAGTGACTTTCAAAACTGCCTTTTTCAGTGTCGAGAGTGTAGTTTTAGATCATTACACTGTCATTAACAAAAATAAGTATTATGACCTAAAAGGCCTTTTGAAAATTTCGATTTAAAATCTTGTTTGAGGTCTTGAAGGTCATTTTTCCTTTACGAGTCGAGCACACTTTGCAAGATGGAAAGATAAATAAATAACAATAATAATGATGATAAAAAATATAAGTTTTATTTCTTGTTCGAATTATACCTTCCGCTTCACTGTGGTATATTCTGATCGCCATTCTCTTGTGCACCGAATTGTGAAATTTCTAATGACGTCTATTAAGCTTTGGTAACAGACGTAAACGGATGGAACAATAGGATTACAACAATACCCGTTTACATGCAAATCGTCTCAATCAGCTCTGTTTATGCGGCCGACTAACTTCGTACTCTTATGAAAGTTTAATTTCGTTCTACGTTGATATCAGCATGTACTTAGCTAGCCGCGTCACTGGACGTATCTCCGTGTGAAGCTGTGTGATAAATCCTATTTCCGACCCTTCACATTTTAATATCTGCACACGTGATTGCGTTCTACAAGTGAAGAGGGAAGACGTTCAAATCAGTTTGTCTGTTTTGTACATCCTTGCGAAGAAAACAAAGACAGAGCTGGCTAATTAAGCAGTCAACATATGCTGTTAACCTCAAAACGTACCAACAGTGAACAACAAACGTTGCACTTTTAAGCGGGACTTTTTTCCATTTATAGTTATGACAAACGAAAGACTCCTTTGTGTTGAAGATGCAAGGTTTACAAGTTTTGCATTGCCACCGACTGATATAAAGAACTTGGATAATGGCATCGCGGATCAAAATCGACTGGTGCTGGACAACACACAAAAAGACAAATCTCCTTCAGCGGTACAGCGCATTTTAGGCTCTTTAAAATTGTCACCGACAACCCGACGCGATTCACCAGTAAATGACAAGGACAAGCTGCAAGTGCCAAAAAAACCAAACGCTAATGGTGGGTCAACATGCGGTCACTTAACGCATGAATACCGTAAACACGCAACAATATCGACGTCCAGTTCGGACTATCCCGAGACGGACTCCTTTTCGGATTCTACCTACTCACAAAGCTCAGATGCATCGGTCAATTCAAATACGACTTCCACCGATTCAGACAACAATCGGATATTTCAGCAAGGTATTGCAGCCCAAGATCGGATTTCCCTGAAGCAAAACAGTGATATTATAGACGTGGATGAGGGATTTTTAAGAAGGGTTTTGATGTTAATGAAAGTTGTTTTATATTTAAGGCACAGCTTTCCTCTTAATCTGCTGCGGAGAAGAAAGGTTTTTCCTGAGAGCAAGAAAAGAGAAATAAAATTTCCTGACAGTTTGAGTGTCAGTTCCTATGAATCAAGCGACTCGCAAGATTCGAGTGTTTTCAGCGGGAGGAGCCCGCGGGCAAGAAAACGCATATCTTTCAGTCCTATTACGTTATTATTTTCCGCCATTACAGAAAAAGCATTCACTGAGGCCAAAGCTATTTTAGAAGAACAAGAACTAGACGTCAATTCGCAAACACCAAACGGACAATCGTTGCTTCACATTGCTGCTGCAAACGCAGATTTAAAATGTGTTCAGCTTCTTCTCCAACACGGCGCTGACGTGAACGTGAAGGACACAAATGGTTGGAGCCCGCTACACGCGGCAGTGAGGCGAGGCAACTGGAAATGTGCTATTCTTTTGATTGAAGCTGGGGCAGATTTCGGAGAATATGCGCAAGCAAGAATTCAAGAATACAATCAAGTACTTCAAATGTCTACGACCTTTTACAGATCAGTGGAGATTTTTGTGTGATTTATGAATTTTTCTCTAATTGCACATATGTATTTCAAATTTATGCATTTTTAAAATTTTATATTTGCATTCTCGAGGATATATGATAAAGTTTCGTCAAAAGCCAGATGTATATATTATTAATTAAAATTGTCCCTAATTTATCGAAGGAATATTAGATAATAAAAAATGCAATTTTGTGCAACTGTTTTAATGTTTGCTGTGCATCACAGTTCACCTGTCCGTACAAAGTTTTTACTTACATTTGGCGAGCTGTTTCTCTATATGTCAAACATTTTAGGTCGGTCAAGATCAAGGATAGTGACTTTTCGGTGTCTTCGTGAAGGTCATTAGAAACATGCAAAACATGCATTGATTGTCGCCTGAAGCCACCTCAGAGCAAGAGGTGTAGAGGAAGAGGAGCCTGCTCTGTTGAGGAGTAAATATTTACAATTTTTATGAACCTCAAACTGAATAAAACAGATAGCCAAAAGTAGATGAAAGTGGATTATTGAAATATTTTCGCTGCTTGCAGCCGCCTTTTCGAATTCGAAAGAGAGAGGTAATGGGTTATATTAATGTGATATTGTTCATGTGGTCTTTAAGATTAACAATTAGATATTGAGATAGGTTAATGAGTTTATTCACCAAAACACACCGTCGTAATATGCAGCGATGCAGAGTCTTTTCAAGCAACAAAGTGACTGATTGCTTATTACACCGCCTAACAGCCATTGCTGGAAATTATTGAAATACCCAAGTGGTGTAAAAACCCCGTTAATGGCTTCGTCATCACGTTCAAAGAAACAGGAATCACATAACTGCAAGAATTAGCTCACGATTTTGCAAGTGCTTGAGTGGAAAGGAATTTGAAGAACGATAACGAAGCCCATTCAAGCAAGGTCATAACCAAAGAGTGATGTAATTGGTTTTATGTGATTAACGAATAGACTCCAGTGGTATCTGTTTATTGTCATTAAAATAAGAAAATAAGAATAAGCGTTAATCATATAACACGTCTTAAAGTATGCTTTTCCACTTGCAATTTTCAATCACGTGACTCCTAGTTTTAGTACTGTCTCATGACATGGGGAAACTCGTAAGCACGGCAGTTTTGTATCACATAATTGATAGACCCTACAAACATGGTGACCGCAAATGCGCTCTAGCTAGGATCACGATGTGCATTGAACCTGAAATGATTAACCCTGATGCAAAATTTTAATTCTCGTTTGTTGTCACATCGCTTTTCCCTCAGACGAAATAGGGAGAAGTTGTTTAAGTATCAGTTTAATTCATTCTTCTGTGATCAGGTCCTTAATTCTTGTGACCACTTTTTTCCGCCCATAAAGTAGAGATATCACAGGGAGAAATTTGATGCTGAACGCTCTAATAAGGTCCTAAAGGGTTAAAATTTTTAAGTTTGCAATTTACCCACTTCTTGAAAAAACATTTGATGCTTCTCAACTGAGTTTATTTCACAGCTCTCTCTCAGCTAAGATCTTGAGTTTATTTATTTATCTCTTTTTTTGGAGCCTGTGTTATTCACCGGTGAGTGAACGTTGATAATTCTAGCGTAGTTTACACGAAAACGTTAGAGAACTTTAGTGATACGACCCTCGTTTCTCATGGTATGGTAATAAAACTCCCTACTGGCTTCTTAGACTCAAGATTAGTCCGAAGTGTGGAGCGTTTGCTTTCCGAAGAGGGTGTCATCATAAGATTGCACAAGTGTACAAAGTCATTAGGAAGTAATAAAGGGGGACTGAAGCAAAAAAAATACAGATGATTGTTTTAATAGCATTTTATTGTTAATTTAACAACAAGAAGCTTACAATAAATTATAGTCGTTAAAACATCTGTGACAGATTACAGTATAAACTGACCATGGTCAGCTACAAACAATGATCTCAATATGGACTTTGCCGTTAAACTCAGATAACTAAGCTACTTCGTGCTGTAAATGACTTCATAAAAATTGAAGTTACTATAATTTAGTCGACAAGGGCAAGATAAGCGGGAAAAAATGCGGTCAAAAATAGTACAGTGAATCTACAGACTCATCAACTTATTCCTTTTTAACTAACATTAAGGTCTAGACAGAAGACAGAAGACTACTTAGAAATGATTGGACCTCTCAGAGATCATTTCATTTCTGCAATTCAGACATGAGCTTAAACGCTTCTTATTTTAAATAACATTAAAGGTGCTTTTTAAATAGAATTATCAAATTTTTTCCAAACGTAGTCTTATGGATTCCTTCATAAGTAATAAATAATAATGACGTCCTATTTTTGTAATCCACGGTGCAACGCAATCTATTTTTTCCTTCATAAATTGTACACACAAACGGCGGCCTCCTTAATGACGCCACTTAGCGAGTGGAGTACGACGTAATTCCTGTAAATCGTCACCTTGTCATCGGTAATCGGGCCTTTCTGTAAAAAAGAAGGGATTTCATTTCAGACATTTTTGAAGACATTTTTTTTCATCTCAGCCAAACGCGATAAAGCATACATTAGCATGAATGATCAACAGGTCCCTGTCCCAGGCCTAGGGAGAGGTGGGGTTACTCCCATATTTAAAGGGCACACACTGAGCTGAGCCGAAATTATTACTAGTTTTCTAACTGAAGGAATGTTTTTCCATACTTGGGTTTCTGAAAGAAAGACATTAGATGATTCTATCAAAAGAAAACCATAGCATGATCGTTTTTTGGTCTTTTTTCGACAACTCAGGAGCTTTACTTGAAAAAGGTGGCCCAATTTTATCAAGTTGCGATCCGTCTCCATCCTGGCCATAGAAAATCCTTTCAATACTGACTTTTAGTTCCAGTACAGTGAGAGAGTGATTTTGAATAAAAAGGAACCATTATTTCAGGATCTTTTCGATCCCAATGTCTTTTTAGGGCCGGGTTTTAAAGTAATAATAGTTGTTTTATGAGATAGCTTACCAGCAAGTTGATATTAACAAGGGCTTGGAGATATACGCGAATATCTCGGTTCATCTGCGCCGTAGAATTTCCGTATGCAGTAGTGGGTACAGGAAAGCCTTTGTTTTGCATCTGAGAAGTTTGTAAAAAATCAAGTTGTTAATGGAAAGTGTGTCTTTTATACTTAATGCGCCTAACATGCAGCCTGTGTACAGAGGAGGGTGTCTCTGTGTACAGGCTACGTAACATGCTACATTTCCTAAAACTATTTCATTTCGAGTAGGTTTGAGAGGTGTAAATTCAGCTGTAAATACTAGTGTATTGAATTCAATAGATCAGTATTATATTCTTTTGTTCAATAGATTCTTTATTTCAGTGCCCAGTTGTTCGAAAGGTTGATAACGCTATCCACTGGATAAATTTCTATCCAGTGAATAGCACAATTGGTTTCCCTAATACTTATCTTCTGGAGGATGATTTATCCGATGGATCGCGCTATCCAACGTTTGAACAAGTGGGGCCAGTAGTATTTTTAAGAAGCGTAATACTTCTGACTTTCCTGGGTTGCAAAACACGACCAGTTGGCTTTTGTGATCGATACGGAACCGGGCAAATATGGGAACAATAATTTAACCCCTCTATCTTCCGTGCGAAGATAGCTGAGCTGGGGAAAGAGGTGAAAAGAAAGCGCGCGAGGGACGATGGGAAGGTAAAGAGAAACAGAGCTCCCTCTTTCCATTGTCCCCCCTCGGTCTTCTTACTTTTGCTTTACAGTGGAACCTCGATAAACGAACCTCTAGGTGCGGAGTCCTCGCTGTAACGAATGATATTCTTCGCCTCAGCAATAGTACAATATATGAAAAAAAAATTGGATATAACGAACCCTCTCACAAATTTTCCAGTCCCTGTATAACGCTTTCTTTTGGAATATCGATAAGAGCCTCTGTGGCGGAGAGTGAAATTCGCAAGTTTATTTTACTCTGAAAGCAGTTAAAATTAGCTTCTTATTAGTACCTCACGGCTGAGCATCACAGTTGAAGCATTGACGTAAGTGCTTATGTCCCAGAGCACCTGAGCCAGCGAATTGTGCAGCGGCCCTTGGTTTTCTTCATAAGATAAGGCCATGTACAGTGGACTTTTGAAGATATCCATCTTCTCGTAGGCGATTGTTGCATTGTCTTTCAATAGCTGCAGACAGAGGGTTGTTATATTAAAATGCACATCTTACAGAGAGTCTAGAACTGTATAACTTATTCAATATTTTATTGCATGCAAAAACTTTCAAACGCCCTTCAATAAAGGCTTGAAACCTCCTTAAACTGGGAATATAACTTTCTGGATATCAAACAAACAAACAAACAAACTGTTTATAAGTACATATATAGCTGAGATAGAAGTTCCAGTGGTACCTGATTTGATGTGCAAGATTGTGTGTTGATTTGTGGTGGAAATTTCGCGAAAGGTGGCTCTTTAAGATAGCTTGTCGATGTGATGAACTGATAAAGGTTTTTCATCTGCAAAAAAAAATAAGAATAAGGATAAGAATAAGAGAGACAAATGTTATCAATTTGCGATGCTATTTTCTACAGAAAACTAAACGGAGAAAAAAGTTGTAGTCAAGGTTTATGAAGGTTGAGAAGTCAGTGATGCTAGCACAAACGGTCTTTCTTCAAACACTACAAATATTAAAGGGTTTAGTTTTATTGTTTGTCTCACGATTGTCACTTTGATATCGATCGCGACGTTTCGACCGCACACTGCAGGTTTTTGATCATCGCCTGATGAAGACCTGTAATGTGCGGTCGAAACGTCGCGATCAATATCGTGAGACGAACGATAAAAGCTCAACCCTTTATACGCATTATCCACGATGGTAAATATCTTTCATGACAAGACCGAAAAAGAAAAGTATGTTGGAAAAAAATATTTGGCAAATATTTTTTCCAACATACTTTTCTATAAAACCATTCACGCCTAGAAGTATCTCCAAAAAAACCGTTGCAAGCTATACTTAGAGACGGACCATTAGAAAACTTATGGGGGGCGAAGTACAAAAAAAATATTCGCGCAAGGGAAAATTAAATGAAAAAAAATGATGCACGCCAATTAACACTAAAAATATTCATGCAATGGCCTAAAAAAAATTCATACAAAGAATTTGATAACGAAAAAAATTCCTGCTTCTCGAAAATTCCCCTCCCCTCCCCCCCATAACTTTTCTAATGGTCCGTCCCTTAG